AGAAGAACTTTAATAAATCTGTGAAAGAACCAGAACACAGGATTGTTCTAGTGACAAAGATTCATGTTTCATTGGTTCCATCAGAGAAGATCCAGAGTTATGGAGTCACTGGAGACTAAAGACTGAACAGTGAACTCTGCAGGTGTTCATATCTGCAGCTCTTCTGTTGGTGTAACTTGGACTTTGCTTTGTTTCACCTGCAGAACTGGAGGCGCTGCAATTGGAGAAGAAGCAGTCACTTGAACAACTTCAGGAAGCTAAAGAGGTATTTCAGATCAACGCTCTTCTTCTGTGGTGTTTGGTGTGTCCTCGTTGTTTTGATGGTTTTGGTGTTTGTGGTTCTAACAGAGTCTGGAGCAGCAGCGACTGAAGGTATCAGAGCTGATGGACATCTGTCAGCAGAAAGACAACATCATCTCTGAACTGAAGGCGGCCGTAGATGGGAGGAGGCCAGGAGGGGAGCAGGAGAACCGCAAACGCCAGCGAGACTCTCTGGAGGACGAGGAGGACCGAGGAGGACTGGCCAAGAAGAGAGGTGAGAGGAGGGGAGAGGAGAAGATGGAAGGAGGGAGGGTTGTACTGCAAAAACTCTGATGTGGCGTTTGTGTCTTCTCAGTGGTTCTGGAGGAGGAGATCTGGAGGCTGCAGGAGGAAAACGACAAGAAGGAGGAGACCATCACTGAGCTGAGAGAGAGGGAGGAGAGGTGGAGGAGCCAAGAGGAGGAGCTAAGGAGACGGGAGGAGGACCTGAACAAGGACAGTGAGAGGCTGAAGGAGGGACTAGAGAAGGAGAAGATGAAGCTAAAAGAGGAACTAGAGAAGGAGACGAGGGGTCTTGAGGAGAAGCTGAACAAGGAGAAGATGAGGGTAGAGGAGGAGGTGGAGAAGGAGAAGATGGAGCTAAAAGAGCAGATTGAGAAAGAGAAAATTAGGTGGGAGAAGGAGCTGAACAAGGAGAAGATGACCCGGGAGGAGGAAGTGGAGAAGGAGAAGACGAGGCTGGAGGAGGAGCTGAGGAGACGGGAGGAGGAGGTGGAGGAGCTGAAGAAGGAGCAGGTTTTGCTGGAGCAGAAGGTGCAGAAGCTTGCTGGTAAGTTTTACCTGTTACATGGTCAAAA